ATGAGAGAAAAATAACAGGAGGACTGGTTGATATATCAGAATGCCATATTGGAACAGTACACGTTCTTTGTTTGGATTACTAATAATACTATAGAGAAAAAAAAATCTACAAGTTTTGTAATTTCCATTTTACGTTATACTTAAACCGAGAGAAAAAGTATATATATATATATAAAAGTTACTGACATAACATGTCTTTTTTATAACGCTAGTGTTGAGTTCCAGGGTTTTGTCAGGACCACTAATAATAATTGGTTTAACGTTAACATAGCTATGATAGTCATATCGTTAGTTCAATGTTATGATTACTTAAGAGTTCCTTTATAAGTTGTGTTTAAAATTAGGTATGCGGAATCAATGCGGCTAACATAGTAACCTTACAGTAACGCACTGTACTATATTTCCACGGTTATTGATTCTTAAATGTCAGAATTTTAAAAAAAAATCTGAGTATTACCAATAAAGATGGGTTATATGATCACACTAAAAAGCATGCTGCAGGAAAACTGGTTAAGTCATTACATAAGTTTCCTAAACATGAAAAAAAATGATGAGAACTTTAATAAGTACTTGGCCATGGTTTAATCCAAAATGTTTTGTCTAGAAAACCACTTATTAATAGTAGTATTAATCGTATCAAGCTACTAAACATATCTTCGACCGAAAACTTTTAGAAGTAGTTCATATGGTATATATGTATAGCCAGTCTGCGTGAAAAATGTATATAGATATATAATAAGTACAGCCAACATAGTTAATTAACCAGAAAAGAAATTATAAAACTCGCCTGGGTTGCTTTTTGATATCGTTGTATTTGCCAGTGTTAGTTGTATGAGTTTGATTAAAATCCTCAGCCATCGTTTCGGAATACCTAGCTTATGTGTCCAGTATTAAAAAAAAATATTTAACATAATACTTATATATTAAAGGTAAAAGGTCTGGGGAGTTGTAGGTGAGGCGGAATGAGGAAAAATAATTATTTCTAAGTAGATGCAGGGTCTGATTAGCTACGTGGTTAGATTTTATCCTGCAGCCGAAACTGTCAACATCCTTGACTGACTAATTGGATGTGCCCAGCGGACCGTTTTAGTCATTTGTAAAGATTTATCATCTTTACATTTCGATTCCGTAATGGATTTGTCAGTTATACGATCTAACAATACGTATGGTGGTTCATGATCTAGATAAGCCGGTTTTAGCCTATCAATACTTATTGTGTCGATGTTTCCATGTTTTTCTATCACGAAATATTTAGATTTTCTTGAGACGACTTTGAAAGGACCTTCAAATGGAGGACTGAGTGGTGATTTTATTTTATCACATCTTATCCAGACGTGCGTGCAATTGCTTAGGTCTTTAGGTACATATACGGCGCGCGATTGTTCGCGAGTATTAATTGGTTTAAGTTTGGACATATGGTCCCGTAGTTGATCTACGTAATTTTCTAAATTAAGTTTTTGACTGTTAGTATTAGGGTTAATAAATTCACCTGGTAGTCTCAGAGTTGTTCCGAAAACCAGTTCCGCAGCTGAACATTGTGCGTCAGTTTTGACAGATGTTCGTATTCCCAACATAACTAATGGTAGGAATTCTGTCCACTGATTGGGGTTTGAGTGAGATATAAGGGCGGTTTTTAGCTGACGGTGAAAACGTTCAACCATCCCATTAGCCTGAGGATGATATGCAGTGCAGCGTATCCTATTAGAGCCTAGAAGTTTAGCCAAGTTATTAAATAGTTCGGATTCGAATTGCGCTCCTCTATCCGTCGTTATTGTTATGGGTGTACCAAAAATGGTTACCCAGTTCTGCATGAAAGCTTTGGCTACTGTTTCCGCTGTGATGTCCGCTATCGGGATGGCTATAGGGAATCTGGTAAATCGATCTATGCATGTAAAAAGATAATTAAAACCATTTGAACGGGGTAAAGGACCTACCAAGTCGATATGCACATGTGCAAAACGTGCATCTGGTTGCGAGAAAACACCTATGGGTGAATTTGTGTGACGATTAATCTTTGATTGTTGGCATGCTGAACACTCTCTAACCCATTTGTGTACATCCTTCTGTAAATTTGGCCATATATATCTAGCATTGATTAGTTTAGTTGAAGCTTTTGCTCCAGGATGAGACAAAGAATGAAAGTTATTATATATCAACTTTCGCATATTTTTGGGAACGAAAGGTCGCGGCATTGCCTTGGTCGTGTCACAGTAAATTAGAATACCATCGATAGGTGATGGGAACTGTTTTAAATTAAGACTTGAATTGTTTGTTTTAAGTAGGTTTTGTAATTCTAGGTCCTGCTCTTGTTCGTGTCTCAACGTCTCGAAGTTTACTGTAGACTGCTGTACCACGTTCATTTCTAGTCTGGATAAAGCATCTGCCGCCTGATTGTCCTGACCTTTGACATGTCGGATATCGCTTGTGAACTGTGATATATAGTCAAGGTGTCGGACTTCTCGAGGTGAGTACTTATCGGCTCTCGCTTTTAATGCATTCGTCAGTGGTTTGTGATCCGTAAAGACTATAAATTCCCTACCTTCTAACATGTGTCGGAAGTGTTTAATAGTCAGGTAGATTGCAAGAAGTTCTCGCCCGAAGGTAGAATACCTTGTCTCAGCTGGAGCGAGTCTTTTCGAGAAGAAAGCAATTGGTTTCCAGGCGTTTTTAACCAGTTGGTTAAGGGTACCGCCTACTGCTTTATCTGAAGCATCCACCATCAAAGCAAGTGGGGAAAGAGAATTCGGATATATCAACGTAGTTGCTTGAGCCAGTTTATCTTTAAGCTGTTTAATAGCTTCGACGGCGTCAGAAGACAGTTTGAATTCTTTTGGTTTTCCTTTAAGTAAATCTGTTAAAGGTTGCATTAATTGTGCACAACCTGGTATGAATCTGCGATAAAAGTTAATTAGACCTAGAAAACTTCTCATTTGTGTTAGAGAGCTAGGTATCGGGTATTGTTTGATAGTATCCACTTCTTTTTTTATAGGTTTAATCCCTTCTGGGCTTATTGTGTGACCAAGAAATTCTAAAGTTTGAACACCGAAAACACACTTACTTTGATGTATGTTTATTCCATGTTCATTCAATCTTGTCAACACTGCTCGTACATGCTCTTCGTGTGATTGCAAATTGGGGCTGGCAATTAACAAGTCGTCTATATACCCCTGCGCAAATGGCATATCTCGAAGTAGGTTATCTATGAATCTTTGAAATGTCTGTGCCGCATTTCTCAGGCCGAATGGCATGCGTACAAACTCGAATAAGCCGAAGGGTGTTGTAATAGCTGTCTTAGGGATATCTTCATCAGCCACCGGGATATTGTGATATGCCCTGACTAAGTCAATTTTGGTGAATATGTTCATACCCTGTAAACCGTTTGTGAAATCTTGTATATGCGGTATTGGGTACCTATCTGGTACGGTTTGACGGTTGAGGGCTCTGTAATCCCCACACGGTCGCCAGTCACCTTCATTCTTCTTTGGGACCATATGCAAAGGGGATGCCCATTGACTATCAGAGGGACGGATAATACCCAGTTGCAGCATATAATCAAACTCGGCTCTAGCGATTTTGAGCTTATCTGGTGCTAGTCTCCTGGGTTTTGCAAACACCGGTGCACCTTCGGTTTTGATAGTGTGACTTACTTTTAGTTTGTTTTTGGAAGGCTGTGGGTTTGGTTTAGTTAAGTTTGGAAATTCCGCGAGTATATCTTGGAATTTCGCTGTTGTTACTGGAGGGGTTTGAATCAAGTTAAGAGAGCTGATGTGACTTTCTTTGCCTTTTGTGTAAAACGAAGTTTCTTTTAGTGTTAATCGCCGTTTCTTGGTGTCAACAAGAAATTCGTATCTCTCTAGAAAGTCCATCCCCAGTATTGCCAGATCTAAGTCGGCTACCGTGAAAACCCAAGGGAATTGCCTTCTGAACCCAAAATCTAGGGTTAACGTTTTCTGCCCAAATGTCGCGATTGTAGTTTTATTTGCAGCTTGAAGTGTAATCGGGGATGTTTCTCGACTAATCTCAGTTTTATTTCGAGGGATGATGCTAAGAGCAGCGCCAGTGTCCACCAAGAAATTCAAGCCCGAGTTTCTGTCTCTGACATAAAACAAGCGACAGTTTAGGCGCCCCTCCTCAGTTGTCGCGACCTGGGGAGGGGTTACTCGTTTCCCGCTGTCTTGGAATTATGCTTAGGCCAGGCGCATGGTTGCCTGCACTTGGTTGAGTTGACACCAAACTTCCAGTGGTACCAACAAAACTGCCCAGATTGTCTGGACATTTGTGACCTATTTTGTGACTTGGATCGTGATCGTTGTGGTGACCTGTTCCTGTTTGTATGACCCATTTGCATTCTGGTGACAGCCTCAGTGAGACTCTTAACACTCGCAATGAGTCCTTCTATGACGGGGTCTTTTGCTGATTCTACTTTCTGTGTGTGATTTATTGTGCCTGATCCAGTTGGAGGACCTCTTTCCATTATTCTATCAGCTATACGCGCTAAATGAGATAATGAGGTTTCAGGATCTTGTGCATCCAAACAATGTTGGACGTAGCATGGGAGAGCTTGTATCCATCCTTGTTTTAGGACTGCTTCGCCCACTGTGTTATCACCAACTAAGACTTGGAGGTGACGTAGAAACTGTGACGGCGACCGATCACCTAGTGTTTCACCTTGAAAAAGTCTTTGGATTCTTTGACTATCTGATAATGATAAACGGTTCATTATCTCTCGTCTTAAGACGGTGTACGGTTGTGGTGATGGTGGATCTAAAATCAAGTCACGGACTTCTTTGGCGACTGAAGGAGGAAGGATAGAACACAAATCTCTATAGCGAATCCCTTCAGATTTGATATTGTGTCTCGTGAAATAATGCTCGAGTTGAGCAAACCACAACTCAGGATCACTACGATCAAATTCTGGAAGTCGAGATTTCGTAGTCATAACAGTGTCTATCTCCACTGGTGACAAATCCTCCAGATTATGGGTTTCTTTTAAGTCTGACATGAGGTATGTGACAAATATAGCAACAAAATTAGCACGAAAAAAAAATGGTTTCTATGACACGAATAACTTAAGATAATAAAAAAAATAAACTATTTATATACCCAACTTAGTTTACGGATTATCAGGTCTACTTTTACGATTGAGTAAAAAATAATAATATTAATAACAAAAATGAGGTTAATTTGTGTTCAAAAAGGGCTCACCAGTTTCGTGCCTATAGGTAACCCTCGTACTATTGATAGAAGAAACACGAGAAGTTGTGAGTACGTGTTTATTTCGATCTTAGCGCAGTCACAGTGGAGCGTGGGGTTATCTGTTCAGACAAACAAAAGCTTTCAGCATTCAATATAAGATAATAAGGAATATAACGCTTATACAAAATAAGGAAGTGAATGAATACTTGAACAATACTGTTTTGGCATATGCTTGGTTGTTTGGGGTCAACTCTTAACCAACCAACCTATGCTGTTACAGGTTCACCACATATTTAGCGATGAATTCGATGATTGTGAAAGTCGGGCTTAGGCTGTGACAAACAAATAACAAGGTTAGTTCAGATCCATATTCACTGTAGAAGTTGAACGTTATACAAACTTTCTGGAAAGTCGATTTGTCGTGCCTCAAATAAGTTTGGCTACAATGCATCTAAAGTCATGTTCTGTTACAATGCGAATTTCGGGTAGTGTGGGTGGAGGAGGTACCAGTCGATTATGATACGTTTGCAGCTGAAAGTGAAGCTATCAACTGTTAGTGAAATCATCCTGCCAGCCCGTTGGTTCATAGGTAGTAGGCAGGTTCTCCGGAATCTTCTGATGTCTAAGAGTGTGGTTAGACAGCTCAAACGTTCATATGGAAACTGACCACTTCGTGAAATCGCCAGTACATGCTAAGGAATAAGTTTATGCGATTGATTATTGTAAAGGTCCTACTAAATCATGATGAACGTGGCCGAAAAGAGAGTGAGAATTTGAAAAATTAACCAAGGGACATTGTTCGTCTGATAAAATCAGACTTTGTCAGCTTACGCGAGGCAGTGGAGATTTCCTCACCATTAAAATATCTATCAGTTGATAATACTCCGGAGTATATGCAAAGATCATCTACGAAATCACTTCTAGAATCCAGGGTCACAACTTATGAAGAGGAATTTAAACTACTGAATAGTTGCTTGATAGAGTATGAGAAACTTTGCAGGCAACCTTTTACAGACTTACAGTTCTCCAAACTTTTCTGGCGATCCTCCAAAATACTTAGTCAAGTTCAGTACTAACTCAAATCTTTAAGAACATATGAGAAAATTAGAGGTAAAACCTACCAAACCCTACTGAAGTCATGTGTCTTACGTTTTATGGGTATCCAAGCTCTGAAATTCCCTACCAACTGAGCTGGTAAAAGTGACTTTTCGTAAGTTCTTCAGGGAGAAACTTGACATTCTTGAGAGTTTCTCCAGACGGATGCTAGACACTGAATCGCGGTACAGCACATTCGGTAGGGAACTCCTAGCTATATATTGTGCTGTACGGCATTTTCAACACTATATCGAAGGCCGTGAATTCACCCTTTTTACTGACCATAAGCTTCTTATATTCTCTTTAAGCTCCTCTTCGGACAAGTACCCACCACGTGAATCTCGACAACTTGACTACATTCAGATATTCAACACAATTCTGGAGCAAACGATGTGGTCGAAGACGCCTTGTATCGCATAACTCCCTTGAACAATTTCCAAGGAATCGACCCTCTGGAATTCACCCAGCTTCAAAAAGAAGACACTGATCTTCAGCACGATTTATCAACTACAACCCTCAAGCTACGCATCAAACAGATGGGAACAGATAAGGTGACCTTACTGTGTGACACATCTACAGGTAGGGATCGCCCAATCGTCCCGAAACATTATCGACGCAATGTCTTCAACACATTGCACAAACTTCTCATCCAGGCGTTCCTGCAACCATCAAGCTCATAGCAGAACGGTTTTGCTGGCCTGGTATGAATAAAGACGTGAGGGAGTGGGCACGCTCCTGTGTAAGCTGCCAAAAATCTAAGGTCATCAGACACAATAAATGTCCCTTAGGCTCATTTAAAACTCCCGATGCTCGTTTCGACCATGTTCATCTGGATTTGGTAGGACCTTTACCAGATTCAAATGGAAACTCTTACCTTTTAACCTGTGTAGATCGTTTCACTCGATGGCCAGAAGCAGTACCTATCATGGTCATCACTGCTGAAGCAGTGGTCCACGCCTTCGTCAAACGATGGGTAGCAAACTTCGGCTGCCCTTCAACCATCACTACAGACCGCGGACGTCAGTTTGAGTCTGAACTTTTCCGTCGTCTGACCACACTATTAGGAAGCACTCGCTTCTGAACGACTGCCTACCACCCACAAGAAAACGGGTTGGTAGAACGTTTTCACTAACAACTAAAAGCTTCACTATCAGCTGCGAACGTTTCACAGTGGACCGACGCTCTTCCTCTCGTCTTACTAGGTATCCGCAATGCAGTGAAAGCTGACATTGGATACACTGCGGCTCAATTCGTTTATGGAACGACACTTCGACTTCCAGGAGAATTCGTGGATCCTTCATCCTCGTCAATGAACATGGATCTATCCTCCTACACGAACAGGCTTACAAACGCAATGCGTTCAGTTAAACCTGTTTCCACTCGACCGCAATCAACTGATGTTCTCGTTCAACCTGACTTACGATATAGTACACACGTCTTCGCACATCGGGACTCGCATCGACGACCCTTCGAATCAGCATGCGAAGGACCTTTCAAAGTTTTTCGACGCAAACCTTAGTACGATGTAATCGATAAGAACGGAACCAACGATAGCATCAGCATCGATTGCCTCAAAGCAGCGTATTTAGAACGAAATTCTATCCACAACGATTTCCCTTCGGTACAATCGGACGACATGACTACCACATTTATAATGCCTCAACTGTCAGACAACACACACGATGATACTTCGGCAATATCTAGAAATAAACCACGCGTTCTGGATGAAGAGTACGGTTTCCAGAATATTTGAACAATTATTGCACGTAAGATACTGGTTAACATTTTGTATCGTCTCGATTTTCCTTTGTACTATATATAATTTAAAAGAAAAACCAAATTTAATATGCTTATATATTTATATATTTATTTCAAAAAACAAAACAGAACAAAACAAAAACCCATATTATGAAAATACTTTATTTACGCTATTACGTGTGCATGAATGTTTTTCCATTTTTTCGCGCACTTTGTGTTTTTACACGCGTCAAAGTGTATTTCGGAATGTACTAGCATATTCTTTTCCAGGAAGGCTGAAAAACAGCGATGAAGTTTACGAGGAACCAAAATTTTCATCGTACTTTTTTTCTTTTACTATATTGTACTCCATAGTCCCTTATAGTAAGGAAAGACGATCAGACGCTGTTAAACATAGCAGGCTATCAGAAAAGTGTTTACCAACGACAAACTCGTTGAGTCTAAACTTCTGGCTGGTCACGTCTTAGGGTCATCTAGACCCCACTATTGGGGTAGTGATCTGTAGCCGTAATAAATCTTCAAAATAAATAACTCTGTAAGTTTTCGACATTGGATGCTGACCACATTAGTTTTAATGGACTCACCTAGCTGAAGGTGCTCGGTCATGCATCCGCATCAGATCACGAGTGAGAACGCCGGCCAGATTGGATCAGACGATCCTCGATATATTGGTAGCCTATCAAATATATCTTCAAACCTTCTCACTTCTGTCTTTTGATTTCACTTCTTGGGTACGCTTCATATTGAGTGTTACTGGTTAAAGCGTTGTCAAACTCCGAATAATTGCGGCATCTTCAAGCTAGACAAAGATATTCAAATGGTTCAAATGGTTGTGGACGGAACAGAAGAAGCTTTCGCTTAACAGGCTTCCGTGTCTAGTAGCAGGAGATCACCAAATCCTTCAAGCAGAAACCTAGGTATGTTAACAGTAAAACAGGAAAAAAAATTGATAAATCATAGTGCGATACTATCCTTAGTCCTTAAGAATAGGTCAAGTTTCCTCATAAAGGACTCCTGGAAAATTGCCTGGACTAGTTCAGTCGGCAGCGAGTTCCAGCATTTGACAACTCTTAAGGAGCAGAAGTTGTGTCTACAGTCCGTTCTGCTATGTTGTATCTGCAGTTTCTGAGGGTTACCCTTTAGATTTGTATTGTGATTGAGCTTAAGTAGGTGTTTAAGGGAATGTCAAGAAGTGTTAAGGATACTGTAAGACATCAGAAGGTTACCTCTAAGACGCATATACTCTAACAGGTAAGGGTTAAGTGATTGGAGGCGCTCTTCATAAGGTTTAAATTTGAGTCCCCTAACTGAGTTCATGTCTCGTCGTTGAATACGCTCCAGGGTGTCCTTATCCTTTTGGAGTGAGGTGGCAAATACTATGTTTCCGTAATCTAAATAGGGACGGATAAAAATATTGAAGATTATATGGAAAGATCTTCCGTCAAACTGGCCAAAAATGCGCTTCAATGTTACCAGTGCAAGGTTTGCTCGAAAGGCATTTTTGTCTCAGTTAGTGTAAGACTTCAAATCGTAGGGCACAAGGACTCCTAAATCTTTTTCGACTTGGGATACTACTAGAGGGGAGTTACCTAAGTTATAACTGCAGTCTGCGACACGTCACAGATGGACTACTTTACACTTTGAAGTGTTGAAGTTAAGTTCGTTATCGTCTGCCCAACTTTGAAATCGAGTCAGATCCTCCTGAAGTGCCTGTATGTCGTCTTGGTTGCGTATCTCTCTCCAAAGTTTCACGTCGTCGGAAAAAAGTTATAAGTCTGACGTTACCTGTTGAGGAAGATTATTTATGTAGATCAAGAAGAGAAGAGGTCCTAGTACTGAGCCCTGGGGGACTCCACTAAGACATTCCATAGCCTGAGATAAAGTGAAATTAACCCTAACCTTAAAATGTCGATCATTCAGGTGTGAAGTGAGCCGATCGATTAGAGGTGGTTTGATACCTAGTCGTTTGAGCTTATTGATAAGACATGTATGGTTAACCTTATCAAAAGCTTTTGAGAAATCTAGGTAGATGATATCAACCTTCCTCTTGTGATCAAGGATGCTTGTCCATCTGTCCGCCGCAGTCAGCAGGTTGGTTATACAAGAGTAATCATTCCTGAAACCATGCTGTTGAGGTGAGAAATTTAAGGACAGTAAATAGTCATTTATACCATCACATATCAGGGACTCCATGATTTTTGAGGGTATGGAGAGAAGAGCCACCGGTCGGTAACTTGAAGGTGTGATGTGAGCCAGCCTCCAATTTTCCGGTAGTTTGCCTCGAGTTAGCGAGTGTGAGAACATCACACTAAGCGGCGTTGCCAGGATTGAGGCGGCTTCCCTCAGTATGTCGGAATGGACCATGTTCGGGCCAGGAGAAGTGTCTAATCTTAAGCACTGCAGTTTCTGGAACACCAAGTCAGCGCTTAGGCTCACTTCGGAAAGTCCTGTGGAATTGCAAACGAAACTGTCACCAGTAACGTTAATGTTGGCCGGTTGAAATGTCTGGGAGTAATGTCCAGCCAGAAGGTAAGCGGCATCGCCATCGTTGTTGGTCGGGCCGTTAAGACCTACCAGTTGGGAAACTTCAGTTTTGGCTTGGTGAAGAGAGGCTGCATCACGGAATAAGCTTTTAGGATTAGAGGCAAATTTGTCCATAAGCTTTGTCTGGTACTGAAGTTTATCTTCTCTTATAACCTTCGTGCATATGTTCCTGATATGTTTATGTTGCCTGTACGCTCCGCCGTTGTCAGTTCGTTTGTGTTCCGCCCAACAGTGCTTTTTGCGACTTAGTAGGCGAAGGGTACGGTTCTTGATCACTGTAGATGGCTTGCAGCTTTTGGGAACCGTTTGAGGAACTGAATGGTTTGTAGCACGTAAGAGCGTGTGCAGTAAGAATTCCTAATGACCCTCCACACACTTGTTGTAGATAGTCGTGTAGAGCTGGCACATTCAACCGTTTAAAATTCCAACACAAGTTATTGGTGGGGTATCTTATGTTAGTTTTGCTGACAAAACTGAAGGCTATGACGGCATGATCAGTAATAAGGTTAGTGGGTTGGTGCACCTGTCTCACCTGCCTGCTAGAAATGCTTAAGTTCCTACCTCGGAGGCGGTTTATCTGCTGCCAATAGACCTGGGAACCTTTAATGCAAAACTTATTTTATCCCGCTCATAACCATTTGAACCATCAGAACTTGCTTCGTCCTTCTGTTTCGGGGAGAAATATAGCAAGAATTATGTTTACCTATGGCCAAGAACCTTCCTTTACCGTTCAAAAGCAGAGTAAACAGTTCGTTAACTCATCCTAGAAAACTTGAAATCACGAAACTGAAATTAGGGTTTGGAATTCGATACGTCCTTCTTTGGCTCGTTGCTTGAAATTTTACCCTTTTGTTAAAGTTTCAAGTGTTCGAATCATAAGAAGTTATATTTGGTATGTTCATTGTTAAGGATAGACTTTTAGGTCAAAGTATACTATACTGACACCACTGAATGAACCAATTAGAATGAACATAACCCTTTGTGAATTTTGACACGAGATCAAAGGCTCGCCTAAGCAACCGAAAAACAAGAAATAAGGGTGAGCAAGGGGGAAATAAATGGAAAATTTCATAAGAAAATAAAGAGAAATGAGTCAAAAAATCTGTTCTGCCATGAGGAAATATTGCGAAAATTTCCCTTTTTAAAACGGGAAGCTTCCTCAACGTCTGGGGAAATTTAGGGTTTTTCGTCTCATTTCCCCAAAATTTACTATAGCGGCTTCCCTAAAATGAACCAAATTTTCCCCAAAGTTGGCAGCTTCAGTTGTTCTGTGTTTGGAATATCGCCTAAAATTGCGCTAAATTGTGTGATTTTCGTCTGACCGCAAATGTCTCCTATTTTCGCCCTCAATTTAATTACTAAATAAATGCCTAAACTCAGTCAACTGTATTAAAATACTGCATATGACTAAATTCATTGACAAGAGTTAACATTTTACAAGGAGATTAATAACAGACAGATGCTAGCTGTACATTTTCGTTGTAAGTTCAAAGTCCCACTGTCATTTACGAAGATACAAGTAGTGCGTTATTCAATAAGAATGTACTAGTTGTTAAGTGCACATGCAGTCTTTTACGTGTGACGTAAATCACTCACTAATCACGTCATTATGTCCATTTTGAATGTTAAGTATTACAATGTATTTAGTAGACTTAAAAGGTTTTCCCTAATGTGCTCTTGCTGAAGACATCAAGTTCCTCTTGAGATGACAAAGAGGGCTGCAAACTTAATAACTCAGTGTCAAGTTTCCTTTGGTGATCACTCTGGACAGACCTAGACACCAGCTGAATAATGTTCGCACTGAAGTCTGATATTCTTGATATGTTCTACAGAGCAGCATTTGATTTTTCAATCTCAAGTATTAACTCTAATCTAATTACAAATGAGACTTATTCAGAAGCTAACGCACTTCCAATACGCTTTGACACGGACGTTGAGGGCGACGCTTCTAGTTTTGTGTAACTCGTTTTTTAACATTTATGAATGAATCACGCCTACTTTGCCGTTAATGATACCGTGGTGTCTAGTAACCCGAATTTCGGGTGTTAAATGTAGCTGTTTCCATCCTGCATTTCAGCCACGTCACCGGAATTATACATTCATGCACTCACAGTGTAATTTTCAATCAACTAGGTAAAGACTGGCAATATTTACTCTTTAAGGTGCCTAAAATTGATAAAATTACCTACCGTGCAACATGAGGCTTAAATCTCTTTATGTCTTTCTTTCTACGAACTAATTCTTTCTTCCTGTACTATATCCTTATAAAAAAATCTTTCTTTTATGTATTACCACCGTTAAATTAACTGCTATGAATCTGGTGTTCATCTAGATGTGCTAACTAGGTATGGCAACTTGGATCGATGCATATATGTGCCTGGTCCTACGTTGTAGCTGTATATTACAAGGGAGACTTGTTCCTGATTAATTTTTTGTGTACGTGATGTGATTCAACGGATAGGCGGGGATTCTTTGTTGCTAGATCGTGTTCTCTCAATCTAATTACTGACTCTAAATCTCGGCTTCAAGTTTTCTAAGTTTGTACACAAAAGTGTGGCAGAACGACATTGAATTATAACTGGACAAACAGAATATCCGCCGCAAACAGGTTTTCACATCGATTCACTCAATTGTGTTACTTGTCACCCGAAGCAGTCGTGTCCTCACCTTCACTTGACGCATTCAATAGAAGAATAGACACTCACAGAAGTTTAGTAGAAAGGGACTAACACACCATCGATCTTCTATTTTAAATACATAAATCTGCATCTGATATCAGTTTTTGTTGAACACCCTAAACCTAGTTCGTAATCCTAATACATAACTCCAGTTTAACTCCTTTTACTTAACTCTAACCTTTTTGTATCACAGCTGATATCAGTTGGTGATGAAAACGCTGTATAGTTGCAACCGTAACTGATATCATCATCCCAATTGGGCTTGCCGAACTCGGTCGATTATTTTCTACAGTCTTTTCAGCCTATTACTTATAATCGTTTTTCGGAATACATTGGTGTTTTCTCATAAAAGATTTCTTTTAGGGTTATATCGGAAATGTGACTGAAAGTTATTAGGTACTACTCCCAATATGCGTTTGTCTTCTATGTCGTTTTAGGAGAGAATAATCCTGATTTTATTATTTATTTAGGACTTATCAAGTCCTTATTTTCGTACCTCAATATTCTGGCTAACTCCACAATGCTTGTGAGTTCACTCTTTGCGGAGTCTCAAATATTTAAATGTAAAAGGTATGGTCCAGATCAACATGGAACTCATAAGGTACTCATAGAATCTTCTAAATATTTACAAACGTCATCAGGCAACATCTTCAAATCAGTTGGGATACTATTGCAAACTTGTTGAGTATGAATTAATTAGAGAGGTTATCCTTGATTTGGCATATGAATATGAACTTAACCTGTTGACCAGCTACGAAGGTGATCTTTATTGTACAGTGGCTAGGATATGGACTGAATGTCATGTTTCTAAAGGAATAGAAGAAACATGTTTTTACAGTAAAGAAGAACTTGGAAATAAAATTATGGATGATATACTTTCGATATTACATACACGGATGGAAAAAAAGCTAAACGAAAGACTGGGATTGTTCGGTGACCACAACCAAGGTTAGCCGCCATTTTTTCGTAATATATTTCTTTCAGATCAATCTGAAAGCAATCACTCAGTTGGAGTTGAAAAGCTTCAAAATAGGAAAACTAAACTTGCTACAGAACTTAGAAGGTTACAGGCATCATTCACAGAAGTATGTAGTTAAAATCATTAGTTTTCTTTTAATTTTGAGACTTACTTTTTTCAATAGTTGAAATCCTGAGTCAATTGAAGCTGAACCAACATGGAAGCACTGGACGGCCATTCCGTCCTAGTATAGAACTCCTCAGCAGTGCGCTTCCACAACCCCGCACCCCGCGAGATTCGAACCCAGGACCTATCAGTCTCGCGCGCGAGCGCCTAACCATTAGACCACTGAGCCAGCGTCCAACGGTGTTAATGTCTAACTTCAACCAATCCATGAAATTGCGCCACCGTCATCATTATCTTCAGTGAGCTGATATCTCACAGCAGACCTGGTTGAACTCCACTGGTCATGGCTTCTCACTAGAACTCTAGGAGTGTCTCTTAAAGTCAGTCACTAGTGAGCAGTTAGTTGATTATTATCAGAATGAGTTTTGTGGCGATTTTAGTATTTCCAATAGTTGAAATCATGAGTCAATCGAAGCTAAACCACCATGGATAACTTACTTTTTATTAGATACTTTTTGCACTAAGTCCAGCATACCCATCAATCCAACGAAAAATCTTGCAAACTAATCCTCATATCAATATTCGGTACCTTGTCAAAAGTTAAACTAAGTACTACCCTCTCTTCCTAATTTGCTCCCTTAATTTCCACTTTGGTGTTACGTCACCATTCTTTAGGAAATAAGTCATTTTCGAATATTTCATATCCTGTTATCTTAAAACTTCTGTTATTATTGTTACGATTACACCTGTAACCACTGTTGTTATTATTAAACTATGATTCAGACCATGTAGATGCCAGAACATGTTACACAAGAGGGAGTGGGTTAATGGTAAAATGATATTATAGAGATATATAAATAATGTTGATGTGAAACCGGGTACACAGAAATTTTTTGACTGTTATAGGTTCCGACTTGCCTGTCATCCAATTTAGTATTAGGTTATAAATTTGCAACTTTTTCTAATGGTACTGAATTATGATCGATACAGAACCCATTAGAATAATTGCTTCCATTTATTAAGCCGATAAAACCACCAACACTAGTACTGTTCATTTTTCTGCTTATTCTTGTTGACTGGGACTGTCATTCACCTATGGGTACCTCCCGCAGTAATCACATTCTACCGACGGAAATAATCTCTGTTTCTGAGTTATCACATGCATTTTGATACCTGGCTGTCAAACTACTGTCACCTACATATTACATAACCTCAGTTGCTGTAGGTGTAATGTAATCATTTTGTAGACTTCTATGAAATTGTTTGTGGGATATCAATCATTTCTTAATATCAGAAAACATGATTATTATTTACGTCCAACTGAATATTGTATGTTTATCTGGGATCACTTTATTTAAACTTGAATATTTTTAGATCATATCAAGGATATACAGTATATCTTCCCGTTTGTTTCGTGAATATCGACACGTAGTTTGGCCACGAATGAGTCACCAGGTATTAGCAGTTTTAACTGAACAAGCCAAAGCCTTACTTTTACGCGTCAAAGTTTTGCAGAAATCCATTGAATATTCCACTTCACAACCTTCAGAAACTTTAGATATCCTGAAGAAAATTCAGTATGTCTTCTTTTTTCCAAGTTCTATCATTCTTATTAATGACATTAGTATTTTTATGAACGCGAATACTAGTGGGGACGACCAAATGTATTTAAGCACAAAATTATAGAATCTCTTAATAAAATCTGAGGACCATACAGTAAACGCTTCATTTGCAAAATTTCAATCATTTGTCTCAGAATTGATTGTTCCTTAGTTTCCACACTAATAACTCACTGTTCTCGTTCTCTTCGATCTTCTTAACCTTCTACTGCCAGGCATTTCACTTATGACTGGTGATACATACTACTTATATCTTTCGACATCAGTAACACACACCACAGTATTACTTATATATCACGACAGTATTTGTCACTCTACAACCCTACCAGGTAATAATATCTATCGGTAAACAAATTAGTGATCAGATTTATCAAGCCTCCATAAAAAAAACCTCACAACAAGCTAACAGAGACGAAAATCTAATACTTGATGAGTAGACAGATAGACGAATATTTACTGCAGTGTTACATCATTTTTATTTTAAAGAAATAACAATCAGTCCACATTTGATTAATCAGGCTTTCCAGGTGTAATAATTATTAAGAGATTGAAATCACACATTCAGTATGTACATAAAATTCTGACTTCTGTTCAAATTGTATTTTAAGGGCTTTATTCGCTCGAGCCTATTGACTGATTGAACTAGTAAGTCTATAAGCGATACCATTCTTTTTCATCTGTCGGGGTTTGTATGCGAAATTTAGGTATGGAAAGTGTGATTTGCAACAAGTATTATCTGTACGTAACGAAGCCATGACAACTAACAGGATTATTCGGGAGAAATATACATGAACTTTGCTCATCATGACCTTCATAGGACCAGTGCACTCGGTCAACAGTGTTGCTAGAAGTTCATTTTATGATCTACATTTCATCTTTTGTGTATCTCATTTATTTCTTGCAAGGAGCTAATTTAGTTCAGTGCATCTCAATTTAACCTTAGCATAGTTTCGAAATTACCATGATCATTATTAACGTTCATGTTACTAATTTATAAACCTACATAGCGTTTCTTTTTTTTTATGTATTCAAGAGATATACCATCTGCTGATCGGATAATTCATCTCTACAATAACTGTTCTTACTCTATGATAAACATGCGACTATCGTTTTGGTTACTTAGCTTTTTATTGCTAGTCAATACCCCATTGTTTTTGCTTATAAACCACTACACTTTCACTGACTCGCAATCCCTTTCGTTTCAACCACAATTGTTATGTACAAAGTATTCGAAATTTTCTAACTATTAAGTCAAATCGGGTAGTTATTGGCTTAGTTGTTTGCTTAAGCACATTTTTCATTTCAGGATCCTATTTATTCTATTAAGAATGATTGTTTCTTTGTCATTTCTTGTTTGTTTCGTCATTTAACCTTTTTATCTTCCTCATATTGTGTCCTTTTGTATATTTACGTCATTCTATTTTTTCTCATCCTATGTCTAGCTTTTGTTTTGTTTTATTGTACCGTGTGTTAGTAAATTATTTTGCTCTTGTGGTTCTGCTGAGCAAATTATTCGTCTTCATCTAGTTTTAACTTACTGGATAACTTCGATTTTGAATAAGTTGGTGTTTAAAGTGGTTGTTAAGTGATAGCTTAAAGTTGACTTCCAAACAACCAGTTTAAGCTTGTACCCTCCCTCCATTCACTTCGGTTTCGGGCAACAACTTAGTGTCCTTAACCTTCAATAAAACTGTATGGTAAATTCGTGTACGGATTCCTGAACTTGGTTTCCAAGACTCGTTCAATAATAATTGTAATAATAATAACAGTAATAATGTGACTCCTGATAAATGGTCGTAAATAATGTACATATTAGACGTAGACTGTTTAGGACGTAGCATGAACATATATCATTCTAGATTGTCACATCGCATAGCAGCTCAACAAAATGGAAATTAATAGCATAAAGTGAAATGGGGGAGATAATATTTACCTCAATGGAGAGCTAAATATAACAAATATAGTTGAAAAGAAAAGAATTTCATTCAATGATGAAAAGTATAAGCTGATACGAAATCCAAAATATAGAAGAAAATGGTGAATATATAGAACTGTACTTTTGTGATTAGTTTAGTGTCATATAACCGAACATGTTTAACAATAAATTACGATTACTTCTCAGATCTCAACATGAAAAATTACAACTACCGAACGTTTCTTCATGTCAACCAATTCAAATATATTGTTAATGGTTTATTAATTAAATCTATTGAATGCCTTCCATAATTTGCTAACAATTCCTCGTTTTGGAAATACATTTTATCATATTTCTTTCATTTTTTTATTATTTAGCATTGAACTTACTAATTCACGTTGTGTTTTACAAAAAGAGGTGAAGGAATTAGAAACGTTGCTTGCTACATATGACAATAAAGATGGCGAATATCATAAATTAGTAAACAGATATGTTGATTGTCAACAACAGTTATCTTTACGTTCTACATTATTACAGAATAATGATACTATACAACTTAATCGAAGATCACATAAAAACTTTTCAAGTCGTCGATCATTGAGTGTTGACGTTATAACTCGTAAATAATTAATTTAAAAAGTTTTGTATAGTTTATTTCGGAATTTCGGTAAAATATAATGTTTTGTAATCTTGAGGTTTTCTTACTATTTTTCTAGTGTTTAACACTTATTGTTTGCTGCTGTTCATCTAAGTTATTTATGGGCATTGGACTCATGGGAACCATAGTCTCACATTTAAATCTGGTCCACTTTGGGATAAATAATTGAATAGTATTGAAAATCGTCTCACACACAGTAATTTTAGCCATAAATTCCGTAGTAAAACCATTTTATTTGAGTTAAAATAGCTATATTACGTCAATATTATTATCTGATGGAAAATACTCACCTTAACTATAATTATTTATACCTTATTCGTCCATACCATGTATTCTAAAAGCATAATATCATTTTGATACTTTCTTATGTAGTAATATTTATATTTACGGTCAACAGGACAGGAAAGACAGAGTAACTGTTACCGTTGCTGTTGTTGCAACAATAATAATAATGTTAGGATGATATTCTATTTTCTTTATTGCTATGATAACTTTTTATTTAAATTATGTCTCCATTTGTTACACAAGCATATCAATTGTCTTTATTTTATTATAATTTATATTTTATTTGGTAGTTAACAATGATGTATTCTGGGAATTTATATAGAGTAAACACTAGTTTTCAGACATGATCAGACTGATACAAATTGCTAGGTAATAGTGGATTTAAGCCTACACTTATTGAAAGAACATAATTTCCAGGTTACTTCGAAATGAGCAATTTGAAGAAAATTGATAAAATGTGAGACAATAAATGTTATGCAGATTGGAATTCTGAATGAGATGATATGACAATACGACGTTAGTGATCATTCACACTCCATAGCAAAAATAAATTCAGACGACAAAAGGTTGTGATGAGTATGCAAACTGATTTGGTATTCGAGAATACTGAGCAGGTTGTATGAATATGTTTTCGTATGAAAAATACTAGAGTTTCCATAGGAGGTACATGAAATAGTCCAAGCACCATAAATACCTCGAGATAGTCAAAGTACTATAATGTTAGGAAGTTCAAACCTCATTTTTAACGAGCAAACACAAGTCTTAAAAATACCAGTTCACTATTACTTCTCAGTATAGCACAGATCAAACTCACCAACAAATTACTTGTTCATGTATTTTCATCTTTCGACCATAGCTATTATATAGAGGCTTGTGGTGTAGAGTGATTATCAAACTTATAACCTAATGATTGAGGGCTGTGCTTTCAACATCAAGCTGTTGCATTGTATCACATCAAATTTAGCTTACTCTAATAGATTGTTTGTATAGCTAAGAATAATGAAGACCAGTAACTTCTTAAGTTCATAGAATTTCAGATTTTATAAAGGACTGTATACTGTTAAAGCAATACGCAATTAAACCCTGCTAAAATAAATGACTTTATTGCCTTGTATCAATCCCTGCTTTCTTGCCTCTTTGGTCGAGGTCTCCAAGTTTTATTACTGCCAGAATAAGACTGCGTTTTTATTGATCATAAGCTTTCGGATTCTTCTTTGTCGACGAAGTAAATTGTCTTCTACTAAATTCGACTGTTGGACAACCATTACACGAATCGGGATGTGAATAATTTTCAATATAGATACTACTTAGTTCAATCAAGTATTAATTTAGATAATCTGAGTGTGCCGATTGACGCTAAAATTAAAATAAGTGAACTGGTTATTCGCAAATAATATCATGTTCTAAATTGTTGAGTAGTGTCTCATTGGGTGAAACATTCAAAGGTTTTGGGTTTCGGGCTCAAAATTAATCTCATTCACTTCAGTCTAGATCAATAAATTGTATCTCTGGTTGGGGCATACCATGTATGGCAAAAAGATGACTACTTGGGTATTTACGTAGTTACTGATTTGGTTCTATTTTTTATGATGAAATATATTATTCAATTATTTTAATACGCTAAATTAGATATAGTTTCAACTGCTTAGATAACTAAATTGAGGTTTTACACATAAACAGCTTTATTCTAAGAGCTCTTAAATATTGACTTTTGTGTTTTATAGCTAGGGGATCCATTGATTTATGAAATCTCGTATCACATTCAGTTTAAGTAAATCCTACCCAGTGAATGTTGTTTTATATATATGATGATGATGGTACAGCTTGATAATAAATTCGTTGAAAAGAGATTCGCTGAACTTCATGTTTTTTAATGTTTAAATTGTGATTATCTGTCATTCTAACTTAATGGACATATGAAAGCAGCACTTCTTGTCTCAAGACTTTTTACCATTACACATCCACTAAGTCCTTTATAGCTTGGTTTTGTTGTAGAAATTTTTTGGCCTTCGATGATAATTTGATGATGAGCCGGTAAATAGTGTTCATTTATGGTCCTTCGTTGGTTAGTTACAATACTTCATTACTAACTACATATTAATCTGGGTTTTTTTTAAATTGAACTATGTATAAAATAAATTAGTCGATAGTTTATTGTACCATTGTATTAATATATACATATTTAATAGGTGGCATTTAGAAGAGAAACATGAATTCTTAATTAAATGCTGGATATATTCATATTGGATCCTAACTAACTGTATTTGATCGATTAGCTATTTCTTTGTTATTTTAGATTGCTTGTGTCCTCATAATATATCTTTTATTGTCATGTTTAGAATACGTCCTCCATGTGAGTCGACTATTGAATGGATGAACTTACAGATGCAGAACATTTACGAATTGAACAAAACCGAAAACGTGCCTTAGAACTTAGACTTTCACAAGTTGTG